TGTGAGAATTCACAGAATTCTAAAATTCACAGAAAGTGTTGCAAAGAGTGAATATTGCAAGGGCGTAAACTACAGTTTAAGAGACCGGTACCAGTCGATAGCCAACCGTAAATTGCACTCACTCTAGTTACTTCTAACAAAGGCACTTAATTAATAGCTTAGCTGTCCGAGGCAAACACCCTTAAATCATGTAAAAGTATTTTACCTTTTAAATTTTACCAGCTAACGTCAACCAGCGTTTTAACAGAGACGAGGACAGGGTAAACAAATCTTGTATTGAACTACCATCCACCGCGTTTGATTCAAAAACACGAATAGCAGCGCTGTTATTGGTCCATTTCTCTTCTTCGTTGGTTGAGAGAAGCACTAGATGGTTGAGATCTGTACCTTTACTCACTGCTGCCTCCTTCGGGAAAATAATGTAATTGCTACAGCATGTTCCTGTTACTGACAGAAAATTTACACTTTTATGTTGGCTCTTAAGTATCTTTGTTTTTTGTATTGTTTTGTTTTATGTCAGCGTTTTATTAAAACTTCGTGTCTGCATAAAAAAATAATATCTGACTCTTCAGTTATTTCCACTGCCTTCTTATATATTGCTTTACAAGCTGGAAGCCATGTAGTTACATGGAAAAATGACCCATAAATCACCCTTTTTTGGGAAACAAGTGTAGGAGCAGAGAGTGATACGTATGCTCCATGAGTCTGGACAATGACGCAGTTTTGTTTAGCTTTGGTGTCTACCAAACCAGCCATCCACCCAAACAATATTTCAGTTCTTCTTTTAGCTGCATCCCACCATCTGCCTAGCATCGTCTTCTGTGTCATCAACAAAATAAGCTTTATTGTCAAAGACCATATGTACAGTCATACAAAGGAATCTGAAACTGCAATGTTCCCATGGCCCTCAGTGTACACTAAAACAATATAAAGAAAAAAAGATAAAAATAAAATAGGAGTCTTATGTACAACACAATGCAATACAATACAATCTTATATAAACAGCAGTGTGCAACACAATCATAGTGATTGTGGGTAAGTTTCGGGGGGCTGGGGGGCGCAGTCAGTGAAAAGGCAATGGTGGTGGTTTGAGGGTGGAGGGTTCAGAGGGAAGAGGTGAATGCAGGTCTGGAGTTCGTGTATGTGAGAGCATGGAGTGAATTCAGCATCCTGACAGCCCGATGGACGAAGCTGTGTCGCAGCCCGGAGGCTCTTCAGTCTCCTTCCTGATGGCAGCAAGCTGAAGAAGTTATTGGACGGATGAGTGGAGTCACCTGTAATGCAGTGAAAATGACACCAACACCAACAGCGTTTTATAGGTTTTTTTATTTGCGCTGGTTTTTCACTTGGCAACTTTCCAGCTGCCCTGCTTGTAGCACACACAACCATACACCTCAGGTCCTGGCACATCTTTTACAGGGGAGACGTGATCAGTTGATGGAGCTCAGGTGTGTGTCAGCCTCCTCTGACACGGCATCCTGAACCCCCTTCTCCACCCCTCCCCTGCAGCTGAGCCACAAACCACACCCTGCCACAATAACATTTTTGCTTTAAATACAGTTAATAACATGCATCAAGCAGACAAATGTTTTTAAAGCCTTATTTTGGGATAAAGTCACATTTTAAGTGTCTTTCTCATATTTGATTGGTGATGTTATACATGCAACTTTTATGATGTGGTGACTGCAGAAAATAAATATGATAATTCTTCCAGTAGTGTTTGAATGCACCACATGGCCTGGGCATTTCTGTGTGGAGTTTGCATCTTCTCCCTACAACTGCCTGATGGATGGTCTAGATTTTCAGTGTTTCACATTTTTCGGCTAAAGTCGTTCCACCATGAACTCAAGTGCCCTCACACAGCTCTGCATAAAACACCACAAATCACTTTCATGCAGTGTGTTTTTTTTCCTCTCTTAGATCTGTATTATACAATATTGGAAAAGTCTGTCAAAATGGCACTGAAAGATCAGAAGTGTCTTGAGATTATTGTGTGAATCTACAATGTAAAATACACACTTTTATAAATACTTAGCAAGAAGCTAAAGGGATAATAAAGTACAGAGAAGCAGGAACAGATCAATTAGGGGGGAGGTAATAGAAGCCTGATGAAAGGGAGGAACAAATAAATCATGACATTACAAGATGTCAGTGGTCAGACTAAAGTGGGGTCCGTCCACATCATCTAAAGAGCCATGGACCCTTTTTCCTACTGTGCTTCTACTGTCCTTGCTCACTGATTAAGTCATGAATCTTTCTGTTGAATCATTTGTTGACTCTTCCTGTCCCACGAGGGCCTTCTTGAGAGTGTTTATGAATCTTATGAGGCTCTGTGGCCCGTTTCATTGCCCAAAGACAATTATAAAACAACACAGCCTCCTTTCCACTGATGTACCGTATCCTAATAACACATAAATTAAAGGACTGTCTCTCGAGAAAACAAGAAGAGCTAGCAGCTAACCCACTCCAAGGCTAACCGTTTGCAAAAAGAAGAAAGAAAAGAAATTAAACTCTGTTTGTGCAACTACTTACATTTTTTTCCAATTTGTAAATACTTTTTAAAGACAAACAGAAAAAAAGGGACATTTGTTTTTTAAATAAATATCTTATTTAATTATCCAATACAACTTTGAATATACAATGCCTCATTATTCTTCTGTCTGATTTTAAGTAAGCCAATATGATTTACAAATAAAAGTTTGCCAGCAAAGAATTTAGATTGAAATACCAAAAAGAAAGGAACAAACAAGAGGGTGTTTTTGT